AGTTTGTCTGCATTTTCTCCCAATTAATCTCTGTCAGTTTATTCCAGTGAAACTTCAGAGGGCAGAGAAGAAATGTGCATCTGTCCCTACAATGGAGTCATTTTTAAAGGACTAAAATGTGATGGCAAATCAGTCAAGAGAGACACAGGGGGGCTGGGGAGATGGCTCAGTAGAATAAGCGCTTCCCTGGCAAGTGCAAGGGCCTGAGTTCAATCCCCGGTTCCGCCAAAAAGAAAAAAAAAGAGAGAGACACAGTCCACACTGCCTGCATTCTTCTCATGTTTAAGGTTATTTGGTATTTGGGACAGTTTTTTTTCTGTGTATATGCTTGCTTCATAAGTATTTATATGATGGTTGTATATTCTTCACTGTGTAAGTGTCAAATACTACAAATACTGACAAATAACTGGGGGGTAATAGAAATTTTTACAACCTGTAAAGAATACATCCTACTTACATGTGCTTATGAAGTGGAAAATCTGGGTTAGAGTGAAAGGGTACTCAAGACAAACATTCTATAACCCAAAACTTCATTTAGGAACAGCTCTGAGAGCAACAAATAGAGAATTTCTTATTTTTTCCATAGTCCCTCTGGATTCAACCTTTTTAAGCTCATAATTCTCCCTCAATCTAGAATTTGGTATATTATTAGTATTACATATTTATATTATGGATTAAATAGGCTTTTGTGGGTTAGGATGATGCTGTAAGACATAAAGGAAGAGGATAAAATAGATGAACTCAAGAATTGGGATTCTCTGGTCTGGCGATAGCTCAGCAGATTAAAGTGCCTGCTTAGGCAGGCACAGGGACTGGGGTTCAATCCCTGGCATGCTGTGCCGGCCCTACCCCCCTCCCCCGGGCACGCTGAGATGGCAATTGAAAGTGGGTATGGGGGCACTTGCCTGTAATCCCAGCACTTGGGAGGCTGAAAACAGGAGGATCACCATGAGTCCAATCTGTGTAGTAAGACCCTGTAGACCCTGCACTAAATACATTAAAAAAAAAAAAAAAAATGAAGAAGAATTGGGATTTTCAAAGCAGAATATGAGGTCTCTAATACTTGGATGTGGATAATGTAAAAGTGAGCCTTAAAAAACATATAGTTTTGAGATAGGGTCTGGTTATGTTGCCTAAGTGGGTCCTGAACTCCTGAGCTTAAATAGTCCTTCCACTGCAGCCTTTTAAGCAGTTTTTTGTATTTTTTTTTTTTTTTAAAGTGCTGCTAAGGTTTCGAACCAGTTAATTTAGTGCTCTTTTTTTTTTTTCCTTTTTTTTTGCGGAACCGGGGATTGAAAAATTTAGTGCTCTTAAATGCTGTTAGGCAAAAGCAAAGCTGGAGTCTTGGCTGTTGCTAGGTGCTGCTCACAGGGCCCTGCTGCTTTGTAGGGGCCAAGGAGGAAGTGAAAGACTGTGCTGTGTCTTCCTGCGGTAGATTAGAGAAGACCTTAGAGCTGAAATGATGTTACAGGAGAGAAAAAGTGTGCACCAGTTAAATTTGAAAAATGAGACTGCTTTAGGGTCAATTTTTTTTTTTTTGCAGAACTGGGGATTGAACTCAGGCCCTTGCGCTTGCCAGGGAAGCGCTCATTCCACTAAGCCATCTCCCCAGCCCCTTTACGGTCAATTTTAAAGAAATAAAACGCAACTTTTTCTCCAGTAAGTATAAAATTACTTGTGGTTTACGAGTAAACAAACACAACTGTAGTACTCTTTGACTTTTACCTAATTAGCATCTTTTTAAATGTATTTTTAAATTTCAAAAAATCATTTATTTGATACAGGGTCTCGCTATACAACTCAGACTCAGTGATTCTCCTGTCTCAGCCTCCCCAGCACTGGGATTACAGGCATGCGCCACCATGCCCAGTTTCAGTGGCTACAAGCATAGCATGCAGTACCAGGGATCAAACCCAGGTCCTTGCGCTTGCCAGGCAGGCACTTAGACCATCAAGCTATCTCTCCAGCCCGCTAATTAGCATCTTTCAAATCTAGATAGAGATAATAACTCAGCAGGGCTTCTCACTGAACACATCTGGTCCTTTGTGATCCACCATTTTTATTAGGATAAAGTTTAAGTAGTGACTGTGATACCAAAGCACATGGCACTAATATTTAATTCTCTATCCCGAAATATTTTTATTAAAAAAAATAAATCTGATCACTATCATCTTTGGCATTTTGCTGGGTTTGAAAAAAAGTCAAGTTCAAATCCAAACTTCAGTCTTCCAGTTTGAGAGTCTCTGTTCTCTAGGTAGAACAGTTGGAAAAAAGGTCTTGGTTTAAAAATAATTATACCCAGGAAGAGAATGGTTCTCATACCTCAGGGAGCCTTGGTGCATAGTTGAGGGAGCTGTGCTGTGGGAAGGAAGCCCAGAAGAAAAGCCTGGAAGTGGGTGGGGCACTTCCTTCCTCCTCCCCTCTGCACTCTTCTCTCAGGTTCCTGGCCCAGCTCTCCTTGGGCTTTCTGCAGCCCTCTCTCTTTCCTCTCCCTGCCCAACTCCAATTCTAAACTTTCTCCTTCAGAAGCAGGATGGAGGCCAAATGGCTCTGAGAAAAATGCAATTAAAAGAAATTCTAAAAGACCCCTAACTTTAGTAATAACTCAGAATAGAAATTAAAACATAGGTATTTTGAAAAGGTCTTTTACTGGGGTGGAATGAGGTACTTATTTTACTGCTTTTCCTAAATATTTGCACACACACATTTGCTTGATTCTAAATTTAAAAGCAGCGTAGCATGTTCAAGATGTAAATGATTGAGCTTTCAAAAAGTATTTCAGGACCAGGGATGTAGCTGAGCAGGACAAGCACCTGTCTGGCAAACACAGGGTCCTGAGTTTAATTCCCAAAAATTCAATTAACAGAAGTATTACATTAGTACTTAAAAGTAGCAAGATATTGAAATAACTAAGATTGATATTATTATAATTATTAATGTAAATAGCTGTTTTTTGGTGGCCAGTATGTATTTAATAAAATCTAAAGCTCGTGGGAGCTGGCGAGATGGCTCAGTGGTCTAAAAGCACCTACTTGGAACAAGCTTGGGAAAGCACAGGGACCATGGTTCGATCCCCCAGCACCACATGCCAGCCAGCCCCGTCCCCTGGTGAGCTGAGCTGGCCAAACACACACACACACACACACACACACACACACACACAGAATAAATAAATAAATAAATGTTTAAAAAAAATAAAGCTCGTACAGCTAATATGAAAACTATGCCATCCAAGAATATATTTCAGATTAAGTAATTTTGTGCTTAACTCTAAGCATGCATTGAAATAGCCTCACAATACTGGTAGTCTTTTATTTAAAAAAAAAAAAAAAAAAAGCAAGACTATTTCATTACCATCTGTGTGTAGCCAGGCTCAGGAATATATATTTTTAAAAACTTCCTTGGTGAACTTCATGCCTACTTCTGGTCAAGTCACTGATTTAGAGGATGCTACATTCTATTACACTCAACTCTCGATGTACTCCGGTCAGTCATGGTAAAACTTAAGATCTCACATGCAAAGCTGTGTTGGTTACAAACCCATTAGTGGCATCATCATCATCATCATCTGGGGTTTGTTTTTAAGTGTCACAATAGTAACTGAAAAACATTTAAAGTTTCCTTTCACACTATCACTTGGACCTTAAGCACAACCCTCCACCCCCGGACTGAGAGTCTCCCAGAAGGTGATTGTAACCAGCTATCTAAAACTAATCAAGTGGGGGTCAGGGAGATACTTGGTGGTCGAGGCACCTGCCTGGCAAGTGCAACGAATGGGTTCAATCCCCCATATCATAGGTTGTGCGAGTCCCACGCCGAGCCAGTCACCAAAAGCAAGCGTGCTGGCACACACCTGTAATCCCAGCACTGGGGAGGCTGAGACAGGAGGATCACCACAAGTCTGAGCTGCATAGCTCAGACCAAATAAATAAATAAATAAGTTTTTAAAAAAATTAAGTGGGAATTTAAGGTAATAGATTGAGGGGTGAGCTGGGAAAGAAGAGTTTTCTTTAGTACAGCCACCTATCTATAGCATAAGGAATAAGTTAGGCTAAAAAGGGGAAACTGGTAATAAGATGTTTCCTGAAATAGGTCTTCATTAGTTTATTTACACTGATGAGAACTCACTGTGTATTCCCCATGTTCAGATGGAAAGAAAAACATTACCTCAATATTTATTTTCAGATCATGATGTAATGATTACCCCTATTAATAATTTAAAAATTAAGAGCTCAACATTGGCCAAGCATTGGCTGTGACTCATCCACATGGCTGACACTGACAAAGGTTCTACAATCTGAGGTACAGGATCTCAGAATAAATCCTGAGGGCAATTCACTGACCTTCTCAGACCAAAAAGCTACAACTCTTGTTGCACAGGTCCTGCTTTACCTTGGTCTTAGCCATCCAGTAGAAAAGTATGAAGACGAAATATAGGAAGTAAAGCCATGTTGTTGTGTTGAGTTGTGGGGGACTCAGGTCAATAATTTCTGACATTGCCAGTTAAACAGAAGACCCAATGCTATTATGGGCTACTGGACTCTTTTAGAATATTTTGCTGAGTTTACACACCTATAATATTCAACAACGGAACTTAAAAAAAATTGGGATATAACTATGAATGACCATTTTGTATCTGTGTATTCAAAGTGGTTGGGATAGATATATAGTTGCATTCTCTTAATGAATAGAATGATTTGTTTTAATGGTGTTTGTAAGTAGGATCACAAGTCTGCATCTTGTACAGCAATTAACCGCTAAGAAGAATATATGCAGTGTATTATTTCTTGAAACTGTACTTTCGATTTGATTTGAAACTGTCTCATTGCTATATGTTTATCAATAAAACTTTGAAAATAAAATAAAAATGCCAAAAAAAATAAAATAAAATAAAATAAAAATAAAAATTAAGAGCTCATTTTACTATTTTGATACCATGGGCTACTCTCTTAAATTCAACTTATCTCCATCTACATATTATACAAAATTTACTGACATACCTTGGATCAAGAAGACTCCTCAAAAATTTGAAAAGTAACAGCTGGTTCTGAAAGGAGAAACAAAAAAATAAATTAAATATTAAAACCAATTTCACAAATTATACCACAGTAAAGAACCATTCTAGGCAGTCTCTTTTTTTTTTCTTTTTTTTTTTTTTTTGTATTTTAGGGAAAGGTCTACAGGGTGTTCAGGGTCTCACTACTAGATCAGACTCGCTGTTTACAGTCTCCCAAGTGCTGGGATAACAGGTGCACGCCACCACGCCCAGTGTCAATTGCTGGCTCAGCACACCCCACGGGCAGGTCCCGCATGGCTTCTGGTGCTGGGGATCAAACCCCAGGCCCTGCGCTCTGCCAAAGGAGGCACTTTAATCCACTGAGCTATCTAGCCAACACTTTAATTTTATTTTAATTTATTGATTTTTTTTAAGCACATGCAATTTTGAATGGAAGAAAAATATACCTTTCTGGATTTTACAAAGGGCTGTAATGAGACAAATCCCTAAGATGTTCCCAGCACAAGAACCTTGGAGAGGCAGTGACTGGCACTTTGAACCATTCTACCCAAATTATTTACCAGTTTGTTTATTTTTTTGGCAGAACCGGGGATCGAACTCAGGCCTCTGTGCTTGCCAGGCAAAGCGCTTATTCTGCTGAGCCATCTCCCAGGCCCCCAAATTATTAATTCAGTACGCTGTTCTTATTTTCTTGTGAAACTGAGAATCTGTGATGTAAATTCTGAGTTCTGGATGCAATGCCTCAGCTGTCCTGGTTACAGTTACCTGATGCAAGGCAATTCATCCAGGGAGGGTCGAAGGCCCAAGTGAAGGGACACCACCAAAACAAAATCACTATCTTCACAATATCATCAACTGCAGAAGTGATGGTAATCAAACTACAACATGTTAGTAGTCAACACACCATGATATCTAGGTTTTGCTTCTGACACTAATGAGCGAGGTGACTTTGCACTGTCACCTATTCTCTTAACATTCAGTTTCCCTACGTGGGAAAAACTCCCAGAAATATCTTCTCTGCTTTCTGCACAGAGTAGTGGTGAGGGTTAAATAAGATAAAGCTTCTTCTACTACATAAATATAAATGTTTCTAAGTTCTGGTGAAATCTAAGCAAAAAATGATTGGTTTTCCTTTTTTGTTTTTCTGTATTTAGGACAGGGTCTACAGGGTCTCACTATGTAGATCGGACTCATGGTGATTCCCTGTTTTCAGCTTCCCAAGCACTGGGATTACAGGCACGCACCACCACACCCAGTCTCAATGGCCCTCTCAGTCACCCCAGGGGCAGGGCCAGCACAGCACACCAGGGACTGAACTCTGGCTGCTGCGCTCTGCCTAAGCAGGCACTTTAGTCTGCTGAGCTAGCAGGCCGGCCCTGGTTTTCCTTTTTAACACATTCAAACCTCATCTGTAAAAAGCAGAGGATTTCCAAAATGAAAAGGATTAATGCCATTTAAAGAGTATCATTTTTTAAACATATATTTATTAGCCTTTAAAAAGACTGGTACATAGTACTCATTAGTCTTTGATTTCCTATCTTTTCCCTATCACCATTTTATTTTACACTATTTTCTATGACAATGTCATTCTGGCTTATTTTTTTCTCAAGAATTCTGAAAATAATTAGAGACACAATGTTTGCCATCTAAACTAAAGATACTTTGTAAGATCTGTATGAAATAAGGCTCTGTAATAAAATAAAATTTATTTAAAAGAACTAAGACTCAACAGACTACAATCAAATAGTCACTTTCTTCTTGTCTATGACACTTTAGCTTTTATACATTTTTCTGAAGAATGACATTATATCCATTACTAGGCCTCTTGGTCTCAATATCACTACTGACTACAGGAAAAAAAAAAAAAAAAAATCCCGCCATTGATAATCTTACCTTAAACAAATAAACAAACAAAGACAAAACACAGCACCAGCATGCCAGGTGATGCTTGCCAAACTGCTGGCTCCAAGGGCAGGGGAGCTGTGGGTGCTGCAAGCGGTGTGAGCACACTCTACCTCATCCAAACAGGGGTTCTGTCCTCCAGGCCCTCCTCAGCATCCTGATAGGGTTCTGCCATCATTCCAGCAAACCTATTCTGTCACTGTCTGTTAGTTTATCTGTCTTTGTCCTTGGGAGCAGTAATTACATTTATGTTCTTGTGTTCTCAGCATGTTTCTGGACCCAGAGCATGAGTATGTATTGGATCAATGGCCAAGTCTTTATTCTGAGAACTGACCTAATGCTGGACAACCAAACCTGGTATCTGGGAATAATTTTTAAATTTTTCTATCATATTCAACTCATTTCCAAATCCTATTTTACTTCACAAAAACATCTGGAATCTGCCTCTCCACTAACACTGGCTTTCTCTTGGTCCTCACATCTTTTGCCCAGACCTCTTCTTGTCTTCTAAATGTCTCTGCTCCCTTTGTTCTCCCTGCCAGCCCATTCTCCACACTGCTAGCCAAAGTCCATTTTCTATAAAAGGGATCTAATAAAATCCTTTGTTTATAAATATGAGCAATTCTCTCATGCATAGAATATAAGTATAAATGTCTTCGAATTATATATAATATCAGACCTCAAGTTACATTTTTCAGCCTGTGTCATATGGACCTGCTCTTTCCTACACATCTCTCCCAGCCTAATAGAAGGCTGCTTCCACCGCTGCCCCACGATGACATGTTTCGTAGGGACCTGACCATATTTTGAACGCATGTGCTGCTTCACGGCTCTTGATGTAGAAACCCTTTCTCAACTCTGGAAAACTGAGGTCAATAATTCTAGAACCAGTGCAGTCCTTCTGAGAATTCCTGCCTGACTTCCTCACAGTCAATCTCACTCTTCTTTCATCCCAACAGCACTTTTCACACATCTCTAGTGCAGCTGTTGTGACACTGTACTGTAGTTCGTAAGTGCCCTGTTCCCCAGAAAAATATAAAGGAAGGGTTGAATTCTTACTGGTACCCTCAGGGCCCAGAACACTGTGGCAGGGACTGGGGGTACTACAAGCTCTTGAATGAATTCCAGATCTTTGCCCCTCAGGTCACCAGGCTCCCATTCGCTGCTCTGACTTCCATTTTGCACAGCTGCTCCCTACCATCATTAGTGCTATTTGAAAACTCCAGCTTGGGCTTTATGTCACTGCTACTGTTCTACTCCCATAATGGCAGTGAGCAAACTCAATACTAACATTGCCATCTAAGCGATAACAGCAATGCTAGGTCCATTAAATATTATATCCAACTGAGCTTCTCAATATTCAGCATGCACATAGCTGCATTTTACTTAAGATTATTCAAGAAAATTTCTAGAAAGTCAACACTAATTCTACCTTGAGGACCACCAAGTTTTGAGTAAGCAACATGAACCTTAAAGAAAATAGGGTTGTGGCTCCCACAGAAGAAGAAAACGGATGGAGGAGAGGATTTTCAGGAGACTGTGATTTCTACCGTGTGTATTATTGTTCCAAAGGTGCTCCTCTGATGTTAATGTTTGTTACACCCAAAGAGGATCGCCCTCATTTCAAGATCAGAGATCGGGGCCAGGGAGACGGTTCAGTGGAATAAGCGCTTCCCTGGCAAGTGCAAGGGCCTGAGTTCAATCCCCAGTTCCGCAAAAAAAAAAAAAAAAAAAAAAAAAAAAAAAAAAAAATCATAGATCATCACACAGCTGTTTATACTTAAACACACACACTACAGAAACTACTAAAGTTGTAACATCACTTTAAGAAATTGCTGCAATTAAAGTTTGTAGGTGTAGGCTTAACAACTGTCTCTCAACTGGATGTTTTCTCTGCAATATATGCTTGCAATATTTACCTTAAGTTTTTTGATGACTGTTTCAATCTGTTCAGAAAAGTGTGTAGCAACTAGCTCTGCAGCTTTACAGGGCTTCAGGGATACAAGTTCCTAGAGTAAAAGAAAAGAAAAAGCCATTTTAAATGGTATATTTAAATAGAATATCGGTGATTATGAGGTTTGGTTACCTACCTCCATACTGTCTTTCAGGAGACCTTGACATAGGGCCTCCATTTAATGTGTGCATTGCTAATGAGAAAAATAGAATATTTCATATAAAAAAATAGAATTCAACCCTTAAGGAGTGTAATTTTGAATTCTCAGCAAATGAAAGCACTATAAACTCTGGATTCTGGCCATGATATCTACAGGATAAACAGAAGGAACCAAAGCTTTCTGAGTTCTCTGTCAATGAATTTCACTCTTGAGCTTTAAAGTACTAAACACAAGAAATGGGAAAAGGTATAGTTGCAAATTCCTTTGTCTAAGAATTCTAAAACTTCACCTGTAGGTGTTTGGTAGATTTAGAAACCTTAAAATATCTTAAGAAATCAACTTAAGGTGCTAAATCTTAAATGAAGCTAAATATCAGTACTGTAAATTGACCCATAATAAGACCTATTTCTGCCAAATCTAAGATTTCTAATTTACCCTCCTCTTCAAATTTCCTTGATGCCACTGGCTACATTTTTCTTTCTGGAACTCTCTTCTTTCTTGGATTATAATTTGCCCCTCCAGGTGGCAGTTTCCAGGTGGCAACACTGACACTGCTCAGCCACAGCCATGGAGCACAGCTAAATGCAAAGACTAAATGTAGACCAGCATCTAGTAAGACCTAAATAAGTTGTCACTGCAATATTCATGATATCTTTAATAATTATTATTAGGCAGTATTTGTAAATTAGTACTAATTAGCTGACACAAATAATTATATGTACACTAATGAGCTACCTCCCAAAAGAGAATATAAGCTAATCTATTTCACAAACAAAAGGGGTATATTACTACTAATCTGCACATTAAAAAGAAATTATTATCAATTTATAAGAATTTGAAAACTTAGGCAAAATAGATAAATTCCTAAAAAGTATAATTTCATAAACTGACTTAAGAAACAGAAAGCCTGAATCAATTTTCAACCATAGAAAGTCAGGTAAGCTGGGATGTGGTTCAGTGATAAGAATGCTTGCTGACCTCCAGCCCTGGGAAAGAAAGTAAACAGACAAACAAAAAAGACTTGGCATGGTAGCACGAAATTGGGGCTGGGGAGATGGCTCAGTAGAATAAGTGCTTGCCTGGCAAGCACAAGGGCCTGAGTTCAATCCCAAGTTCCGCCCAAAAAAAAAAAAGAGTTGCTCAAGTATAAGAGTTTAAAGCCAGGTTGAGCAACATAGCAAGCAGATACTATTTCAGGAGGACAAAAAAGAGTATCAAAAATCTTTCCATATGGGCAACAAATGGCCATATGGAAAGTAAGTTCTAATAACTGCAGTGGTACCTCAGTTCACACATGCAAAAGACTTCAATGAACACATCACAAAAAAGAAAACTTATGTGGCCAATAAACATGAAAAGGCTGTCCATGTCAATAGTAATTAAAGACATATAAATCTAAAATGTAATGAGCTACCATTACACATCCAAAACTGGAAAAATTTAGGGCCAATGGGAATGCTCCAATGCTGGCATCCACTGAAGCTGAAGATGTCAATCTCAATTACCTACCAACTGTATATCCTTTATTACATCACATTGAGATTATTGGTCATCATGCACCATAATCACTTGGTGGACTTGTTAAAACATGTGGTTGGGTCCCACCCTCAGAGTTTCTGCTTCAGAAGGTCTGAAGTGGAAACAAACTGCATTTTTACCAAGTTCTCAGCTAACGCTGGGCACTAGACTGAGAACCACTGTGCTAGAGATGCATGTGGCTGTGCTCAAGATATGTATGTACAGTATATAATATGTATGTATATGATCATGCATAGATTTATTTTAATAGTCCCAAACCAGAAATAAGTGAAATGTCCATCAACAATAGAACGGATAGACTATTACAGCAACGTGTAGACTTCTCCACCAGGTCTCATGTGTCCATAAGTAGAAATTGTGAAAGGTGACTGAATCACGGGGGCATGATTTTTTTATGCAGTTTTCTGATTTTTTTATTTAAAAATAAAATAGTCTTGGGCTGTGGAGACAGCTCAGCAGTCTAAGCACCTGCCTAGCAAGTGTAAGGACCCAAGTTTGATGCCTGGTACCACATGCCATGCTGACTCCAGAACCCCAGGTGCCCTGTGCTGGCCCTGAAACCAGGCGTGGTGGTGCATGCCTATAATCCCAGTGCTGGGGAGGCTGAGACAGAAGGATCTCTACAAGTTTAAGCTGCATAGTGAGATTCTACACCAAATAAATAAATAAATATTTTTAAATAGTCTTTAAAATTGAATGAAATATGTTCTGCCCATATTGGCAAAACAGTTTAAACCAGAAATTCTTTGCTAGACTAGGAATCAAGAGGTCCAAACCAAAAATGGATCTTAGAGGTCTTTAGATCCTGAAACTAATAAAAACCATGTGCCTAAGCACATGTGCAATATTATAAGATACAGATCCAAATATCTCATTAGAGTCTTAAAAAAAGGTCTAGAAGTGCAAAAGTCCTAAGAACCATGATGTTTACATTGTATACTGTCAAAAAACTATTGTGATAACTTTTTCCTATGTGCTTTTGTTGACTGTTTACATAACTGAAAACAGAAGATCTTCAATAAAAACTCCATACACTTGTAAATATGGCCTTAAGAGACATTAAAAGAGGGCTGGGGTCTGAGTTTAATCCCCGGTTCCGGGAAAAAAAAAAAAAGAAAAAAGAAAAAAAAGAGACATTAAAAGGTTTGAGGTGAAACAATGTGCAGATGTGACAAAAGTCAGAAGAAATAATTGTTTTGCAGCAAAAATACTTCTTGCTTCTCTAGCATGAGATTTATGCTGAATACTCTGTTTGCCCACTGACTAATTCATCACATTTCACATTATGCAGAGAGATACTGCTTCATTTTAGGGTGTCTGGAGTCTATGTTCAAACCACTTCATAATGTAGATTAATTAAAATAAAGAATGAGCCACAGAATAACTATAGAGATCAGAAACTGATGATGAAAAGGAGACAAAATTAATGTTCAAGGAAAGAGAGAAAATTCAAAACTGGAGGAAGATTTTTTTTTTTTCCCCCAGTACCGGGGATTGAACTCAGGACCCTGCACTTTCCAGGCAAGTGCGTATTCTACTGAGCTATGTCCCTGGCCCTGGAGGAAGATCTTGTGTTCTGTCACCAATACCCATTCATCTGGTTTGGAAGATGATAACCCTAAACTACACATGGCATGCTCTCCTCTCAGTCCTACTATAAAAAAGCGCTTCTGTCATGAGTGTCACACAAAGGGGAACTTCTTTGCTCTGCATGCAGAATCGACGTCATGTTCTCAGTCCTACAGATGAGAGGATGACAGTCACTGCAGACCACATGCCTCCCACTGACTAACCAGCTTTCCCACTGGATGGTCACCTAAGATACTGTCCCTGTGCACAATTTAAGTATGAAAAGAGCTTTAATCCTCACGCGAATCAACATTAATAATATGGTACTTAACACTGCTCAATTAGGAGAAAGTTAATTCAGTAGAATCTTTTTAAACAGAGAAGTTTAAGAAGTTGTATTGAATTAGTACCTCAATATGATCCATCGCTTTGTGCCACACAGACTGCTTCTCCTCGGCACTGTGGCCAGGAATGGATAAGATATTGTGAATGTAATTAAAGACTTCTTCCTGAAAAGTACAAGCCAGTTTAACTTACTCATCCCCTCACTGGAACAATGTTCAATCACTACCTTCTACCTGTACTAGTCTCGGTAAGTACTATCTTTGGAGATGGAAAATCATTTAGACAGTTAACTGAAGAGAAAGGTTAATTACTTAAAGCCAAGGGTAGAATCTTAGTGGCTACAAGTCTGTTACAATTAATTTTAATTTATTAACTTCCAAAGACCCAGTAGAGTAATATTATACTTTTGCTTTTGGTGGTTTTGTCCACTCTCAATTTCACCTCATTTACCCTTTCCCTTGCCTAGCATGCTCATCTACACTGATTTTTATTTTCTCTATACAATCTCTATTCAGTTCCTTGAACATACTGACCTTCCCCACCCCTATGTTTGCATATTCTGTTCCCGATCTGGAAACACTCTTCCTTTGGCTCGAGTCACTCACTCACTTCTCAAACTTCTCAAATTCTGTTTTTATGTCACTTTCTCTGAGATTCATTTTCTAGCTCCTCTGTAGAAGTTAGTCCCACATTACCCTCTAACATTGCACCCAGTTTCTTACACTTACATAGCACTCACCCAAGCACTTACCACAATCTATAATTATATTTTTGGTTTTGCAGTGCCTATCAGTAAACTTAAATTCAGAAATTGTGAGAATTAAGATTTACATTTGTTTTTAATTATCAACATAGAACTGGCTTTATTACAGCAACTAAATAAAAACCTGGTGAATAAGGAAAGAAAACTTTGGATCAGCAAACACATGACTAAGAATTTCTACTGAATAGCTATTTCTACTGATAAGGGAAGGAAACTAAGAAAAAAAGGGTATAAAGCAGTTATTCACTTGCCTCTCTTAGTGGGTCACGCAAATAACAATCAATAATTTTGTCATATTGGTGTTCTCGTTCATACATAAATTCACAAATTTGGTAGCTAGAATGTAAAAGGAAAACTGTGTCAAACAGGCATTCAGTTGTTATCTTACTGGCTTAAGTTTGCTTAGTCACAAATGCTAATATTTAAAAAATATGAATAATGTGATTTCTAGAGTTAATGTTGTGCAGGTTAATTGTGTCTAATCTTGATGCTCAAAGGCTTTCTGGATATCAGAATATTTCACATTTTAGAATTTTATTTTATATTTATTTATTTATTTATTTATTAATTATGGAACCGGGGATTGACCTCAGGCCCTTGCGCTTACCGGGGAAGCGCTTATTCCACTGAGCCATCTCCCTGGCCCTAGAATTTTAGATTAGGAATGTTTAACCAGTAAGGTATGTGTCAATATTTCAAATTCTAAAATATCTCCAAAATCTGAAACACTTCTGTTCCCAGTGTTCTCAGATAAGAGACACTCGCTTATAGTAAGTACTTGAAGATCAGTATCAGTCATTCCCCTTACTGTAGGTTTATGATACTGCTGAATACTCTGTTTATAAGCAATGCTGGGTACAAAAAAAAAAAAAAAAAAGAGTTAAAGAAATGATGAAAGAGCCAACCAAATAGCTCAGCAGATTAAAGTGCCTACAAGCAGGTGCAGGAGCAGGGGGTTTAATCCCCAGGCCTGCTATACTGGCCCCACCCCCAGGGCACACTGAGACAGCAATTGAGACTGGGCATGCTGGAGCGTGCCTGTAATCCCAGCTCTTGGGAGGCTGTAGACAGGCAGATCACTATGAGTACAATCTAGTAGTGAGACCCTGAACACCCTGTAGACCCTTCCCTTAAAAGTACAAAAATAAATAAATAAAACAAAAATGTTTTAAAAAGAAATGATGCATGATTAGGCAAGAGCATGAACCAGGGTTCGATCCCCAGCACCACATGCTGCATCAGCCCTACCCCACGCATACTGAGCAGGCCATTGAGACCAGGCATGATGCATGCCTATGATCCCAGCACTGGGGAGGCTGAAAACAGGAGGATCACTATGAGTCCAAGCTATATAGTGAGACCCTGTACCAAATACATAAAAAAAGAAAAAAAGAAATGCTGCATTACATTTTTAAAAACCCAACAAATAAGGTACCAATTCATTATCTGCATATACGAAGATTTTCTGCTCAGAATTAAGTAGGACAAGATGTTCAACAAAACAGCAGTGTTAATATAATGAATCTTATTTGTATGTCCAATTTTGCAACTTAAAAACCTACAAAATACCATGGAAATATTACATTTTAAAAATCTAAAACAATAAAACATCATGACACTGACTTACTTTCTTCCCTTCTTTTTTTTCTTTCTTTCTTTTTGATATTGGAAACCAAACTCACAACCTTGTACTTGCCAGGCAGGCCCTGGCCTGCTGAGCTATACTTCCAGCCTAATAGTTTCATATTAAAACAAATGTTACAATTTCAAAAAACCCAGCAATGCATCAGTCTACTGGGCTTCATGTCAAAGAAACATAATTTAATAGTTTTATACAAAACTAATACATGATTTCAAAATAACTTACAACTCAGCTTTTTCTGCCATACGAATGAGCCGGCTTTCTTCAAATTGAACTATGCCCCCAGCATGCAGCAATTCTAAAAGGACCTGAACATTAAAATAAATGAGTAAAAACATGTTGCAACTTATTTTTATCTATCAGCTCTATAAAGGTCCATTCAGTCATGTGCACTATTACTTTTTTTTTTTAACTGTTGACATTTTGACTTGCATTCACAAATGGGAGGGGTCAGACTGCTGTTACAGTAGGGACTATACTGCATGTCAGTCACAAAAGAGAGATGGCTCTGCTTTTCAAACACAGGAGGAATGCCCCAGTATTTGCAGATGAAGCTCTTAGAATACTGAACAGACTCACCAAAACTATGCTAAAAAATGTCTACACATGGGGCTGGTGAGATGGCTCAGTGGTCTAAGGCACCTACTTGGAACAAGCTTGGGAAAGCACAGGGACCACGGTTCGATCCCCCAGCACCACATGCCAGCCAGCCCCGCCCCCTGGTGGACTGAGCTGGCCACACACACACACACACACACACACACACAAATAAATAAATATTAAAAAAAATGTCTACACATATCTTTTTAATAAATAAGTTTTTGTTTCACACTTTAATGTCCTATAGTTCTTTAAAATCCACTATCCATAGGTAGCATCTATGTTTACATACTAATTTTTAAAAAATTAAACTTTGCATATTCTCATAGTAGCACTACTTACACTATCTAAAAGGCAGAAACAATCCAAATGTCTATCATCAAATGAATGGATAAACAAAATACAGTATGTGCATTAAGGGAGCATTAATCAGCCTTTAAAAATGAAAATTCTGATACATGCTAAACATGGATGAACCTTAATGACATTACAATAACTGAAGTAAGTCAAACACAAAAAGACAAACACCATGACTGCACTTTCAGGAGTTACACAGAAAAAGAAAATACTGAGAGACAGGAGGTGGAATGGTGGCTTACTCAGGCTAGGGGCTATGGGAATAGGGAGTTACTGTTTAAAACACATAGTGGCTCAGGATGAGAAGAAGAAAAAGTTCTTGGAGAAGGACGGCAATGATGATTATTGAACAACAATGTGAATTGTGACTAATGTTGCTGAACTGTACACCTAAAATGGTGCATTTGATGTTGTATCTTATAACAATAAAAACAAAAATACTGGGATTCATATAAGTAGTTGTTTGCTGTTTTTTAATGTATTTGGTACAGGGTCTACAGGGTCTCACTATGTAGATCAGACTCGTAGTGATCCTCCTGTTTTCAGCCTCCCAAGCGCTGGGATTACAGGCATGTGTCACCATGCCCAGTCTCAATTGCTGTCTCAGTGTACCCTGGGGGCGAGGCTGGCACAGCACAAGGGGGTTGAACCCTGGCCTCTGTGCTCTGCCTAAACAGGCGCTTTAGTCTCCTGAGCTATCTGGCCAGCCCATATAATTAGTTTTTATCACACTAAGTAGTTGCATTAAAAAAATGTGACAGGATGTGCTATATGCATCAATTTTTAAATAACCCCCAAAAGATATGGAAGAAGCATTACACACTCAGAGCAGCATGAGAAAACTCTTGCCTATATTTAAATCCAAGATCTAAAGTATCAGGATCCTTCTCAGAAGTCTAAGAAATCATTTAACAATATTTTTTCTAATATAGTAAATTTTATTATTTTCCAGTTAAATAAAACCTATTTAAATATTATACTTCAGAATCTAAAGTTAATGTTTGGAGCACTATAATGTACTTTATATAAAAAAAATATGAAGTGAACCAAATCTACTTTGTCAACTTAGAAAAAAATAATAGAAATGCCATTACTAGAGCCAGTTTAACCCACTAGAGCCAATTATTAGATTTCCAGGAAGTTCGCAAGCCAGTTTTTATTTTTACTTAATTTTTTATTTTTTTGGTGGAACCAGGGATTGAACTCAGGCCCTTGCGCTTGCCAGGGAAGCACTTACTCCACTGAGCTATCTCCCCAGCCATGCAAGCCAGTTTTTAAACAGTGATTTTAAAAACTGAATTACATTAACAATAAATTAAATCAAAAACAAAGATAATTAATACTCAAAATTCACCACTTCTTGTTCTATTACACTGTACTACCATCTATGCTGTTGAGTTTATTATTTATTTATTTATTTATTTTTAACATTTCACTAATAGAGTTAAACTTTATTTCCATGTTTATTACATGTTTGTCTTTGATGTTGAGTACATATTAGGATTAGGACTGATTTAACATACAGTGTGGGAGAAGATCTGACATTCTCCACTGAATGGGTTAAAAAGGACTGTAAAACTACAAAATGCTAGTTAAATGTGAGTTCTAAATTATGGTAAACAGAACAATATCTTGCCATTTTTCTCTAATTAGAGTTTATTATTTATAATAATAATGTAACCATCTGAATGGAAGAAATACAAGCATATTACTGTTCATCTTCTCAAGTTACCACAGATTGGTAAGTCAAGCCAACAATAGCGGACAGTTACTTACAACACAGAAATTGGCAAACACATCAACAAAATGTTGCATTTTTAAAGGACTATTAAAAAAAAAGGAATGACACAGACCCTTGGCATTTCATAGAGAAAGTTTACCAATCCCTGGTTAAGAAAGTGATAGGGTAAAATAGTAATGCAATTAAACTTGACAGTGTGTGTACTTATAGGCATTATACTGAAGAGCTCAAAAAATTGAGGAATTATTTTCCTAGTATTTGAAATTACTGACTCTGAAAAGAAATTATTTCACTGACTAATGAGTAAAATTTTGATATATTTTCTATGCACTTTCATCTTATTCACACAGACAAAATATCAACTAATATCCATATCAGAACTATACTTAGGGGCCGGGGAGCTAGCTCAGTAGAATAAGTGCTTCCCTGGCAAGCGCAAGGGCCTGAGTTCAATCCCTGGTTCCACAAAAAAAAAAAAAACCTATACTTGAAGAACTAGCTGCTAAACATTTACCAGCACACCACTGGAAAACGAAAAAAAACGGGCAAGGAATATAGCTCACTGGCACAGTACTTACCTTGCAAGCGCAAGATCCTGAGTTCACTTCTTAGTATAAAAAAACAACAAACAAAAAACCAACAACAATACATGCTGCATCAACTATTATAACTGCCCTACTAAACTGTTTTGAAATTCAATTTCACTGTTTATCCTTTTTCTCTTTAAAATTACAAAAATATTGAGCTAGCGAGAGAGCTCAGTGGACTAAAGCACCTGCCTAAGTAAGCTTAGGCAAGCACAGGGACCACGGTTCATTCCCTGGCACCAGATGCTGTGCCAGCCCCACCCCTAGGGCAGGCTGAGCCAGCAAGAGTCTGGGCCTAGTGGCGCACACCTGTAATCCCAGCACTGGGGAGGCTGAAAGCACGAGGATCACCACAAGTCTAAGCTGCATAGTGAGACCCTACAACAACCAAATACATTTAAAAATACAATAATAATTAAAAATAATAAAATTACAAAAAACCTACTATATAAATTTTAATATTTAACAACTGGTGCTGAGATAGAAGTCATTAAAAATTCATGAAAAATTATTTTATTGATTTGCAAACATGGAGTTTAATATCATTTAGAGAATAAGTACTTCTTTCATACTCTGAAAGGAAAACAACTTGGTGATTTCTGGCATGAGTTCTGATCATATATGGGACCTTAAACAACTAACTTCCCCAGTCTTTTGTATTGTACAATGAGGAAGGAGAACAAAAACTAGATAATCTCAAAGGTGATACACAAAAATATAGCAATATACTAAGACTGAGCCAAATGCAGTAGCTCATGGTTGTAATTCCAAACTTTAGGAGCATCACAGTGAGTTTGAGGCCAGTTCCTCAGGGTTTAGCATGTCATTTCCCCCTTTCACTTAGTGAGGTCTAGCTTGCTAAGAGAAGTTCTTTCTGATTTACTCTAACCTCTTTCCCAACCTTTAGCAAAACATAGTTCTAGTTCCTCATACCTGCTGTCTTTCTGAGTGTCGGGAGTCATCATCAGGGCTACACAGGAATTCAAGCACCTGCCCAAAGAAATAATAACCTTTATACTACTCAGCTTACATGCAGTAGCTATCCTTTTAATGCCACCAGTTCATTCACATTTAGCCATAAGAAATACTCTAGGTGGGTGCTACCATCTCCACTGAACTGGTCTAGTACATGAACTATTAGGCTCAAGCACTCTTTACAACTTAATACATGCCTTATATACATGTTTCTTTATGGTTTAGAAACATAACTAGAGGACGGTGCCATTTTATTCCTTAAGTTCTTTCATATGATTGACAGAGCAAAGACTGTAGTCAGAATCTTAGCCAAATTAACACATAATATTACTGCTAACAATAACACTCCCTACTTGTGATACTGGATGAGTTACTTAACCTCCTTAGGATTCATTTTTAAAATAAGGATAATGATACTAATTTCAGAGGTGTTAGAAATAGTGTGGATGAGCTTTGGAGCAATGCTTGGCACCATGAAGCACTCAGCAAATGCTAGGCCTTACCTACTTCGTCCAAACAGAATGCATTTCCTTGCCACTTATCAATACACAGGGGATATTTAAGTTGGCTTTAAAAGATAGCTGTAGAGTCAAGCTCATTTGGAAGTAAACTCCAATTTTCTAAAAGTAATCTTTTCTCCAGATGATCATCATATAATCCTATCAGTGAGATATGGTGATTCCTAAATTAGAACATTCCTGAGCAAAGAATTCTAGGCAGTTCAGAGCAACATAGTAACAGAGATAATAGAATGTCTATAAGACACTCTACTAGCTGCTACTCCATAATAGCAGGTAGTTAAGCAAACTCATGCTACCCAGGACACATCATAAAATACACAGCACGTGTGCATGCACATACCCAAGCACGTGCATGTACACACACACACACACACACACACACACACACACACACACACACAAAACCTCTCTCTTAATTTGGATTAAAAACCTTAACAGCCCTCTCCTAGATAGGACATTTACTCAATAGTCCGTCATATTAAAAAACAAGATAATGTAATCCAATGGACTTTTTTTAATCAGCAGTAAACAGAGGAAAACCAATTCTAATTCTCACTGAAGACACTTACCTGATCAAAGAGTGTTCTGTTCACAAACAACGTATTGTCAGGCTTTGCGAGCTGCCGAGCAAGGAAAGTAAAGAGACACCCTACTTGTGAGGGAGTAAAATCTGAATTCTCCACCATAACCTGGTGAGCAAAAGAGACCATTTATGCATTATGTCATCTGGTTTGACACAAAAAATACACTATAAGAGAGGCCATTAAAAATTCATGAAAAAAATCTTTTATTGATTTGCAAACATGGAGTTTAATATCATTTAGAGAATAAGTACTTCTTTCATACTCTGAAAGGAAAACAATTTGGTGATTTCTGGCATAATTCTAACACAATGTGGATGAGAATTTCATTGTCAGAGAGGGCAAAAAAGATTTCAAAGAAATGTTGATTATGTTTCCCTTCGGAATTCTTAGAGAATCCTACTATAATTAATTTTAAATAACCCTACTAAAATCTGTCTATTAGTAAGGGAAGAAGGGAGCTACTGCGGAGTTTAAGAGAAAATGAGTGAGCGAATGCACCCAGAAAAGCAGTCAGCCACAGCACACCTAACAAAGCAAAAAGCTCAGCCTTGCTGCCTGGAAGTCCCTGCAGCAGGCAGCTCTGTGCAAAGGCTTTATGCAACTTAAAAGTACACACAGGTATCCACTCACAGTTAACCCTCTATTCTAACTCAGCTCTTACTTCTGCATTCCCACTATGTAAGGTGCTATGGTACAGGAATTTTTAAGGGAATTATGAATTGGACAGTGAGACAAGTAAAGGCATCTGAAATACCAGGTCTGACATGCCTGCACTCTTCTACGGATACAAATAACTGGAAAAGCACAATGTAGAAAAAAAATGTTCATTTAATGGTCCAAAAGGGAATTTGAAAAAAAAGAACCTTTGACAGGGGAGATGCAATCAGAGAAGAGTGTGAAAAAAGGATGGACACAGAAGACACAAGTTTACTGGGAGACTTCTAAGTCCCTCTGGGATGTGGCAGCATGCATAATGAGGAAGGAAGCATTAGGAAGATCAAAAGAAAAGATTAGGACTCAAATGTCATCTGAAGGACTCTGAATTTATTCTGCAAAAAACTGAGAAGTTACTAAAGTTAGCTTCAACCAGGAGAGTTTATCATGATCAGTGCTGTGTGTAGGAAAATTCCCAGTGTTGGTACTGTACAGGATAAATAGCAGAAGGGAGAGAAAGCAGACAGACCAACGCTCAATTGCCTGGAAGGTTCCAGGGAGAGAGAAAGGGTTTCTGAGCCTGAGCAGGGGTGCTGAAAAAGGAAGAACAGGTGCAAAGGACAGCAGTAAGAGACAAGTATTCCTACATACAGAAATATGTCATGAAAGGAGCAACAAAAAGATGACAGATTTTGAGCACAATTGGCAAGCAGCATACTGATGCTAGCAACAGAGAATACAGAAGTTTGGGAGGGAAGATCTTTATTGTTTGGGACTCTGGATTCATGGAGCCAACTCTACTCCCAGCTGGGACAGTTATTAAAATAGCCAAGTTCCCTGCTTTGATCCTCCATTCAGAGGTTTTTTTTTTTGTTTTTTTTTTTTTTTTTTGCGGAACCGGGGATTGAACTCAGGTCCTTGAGCTTGCTGAACAAGCGCTTATTCTACTGAGCCATCTCCCCGGCCCCTAGAGGTGGATTTGAGTGGGAGGAGAATCAGGTTACTGACCCTCACGAAACATGAATCCTCCTCTTGAGGAGTCAGTTCCCTTAAGGCAGTAAAGAGTGAGCCCGATCCTTGTATCTCTCTGGCTTCCTTTTGCCCTGTGATCTCTCTCATCTTCACACTTCCATGACGATGCCACTGCTACCACGATGCAGCTGACAAGGCCCTCACTAAAGGTCAAACACATAGGGTGGCCCAGTCTTCAGCTTTTTGCGTCTAAAACTATGAGCTAAACTGACCTTTTGTTAAAGTGTTCAGCGTCAGTTATTTTCTTATGGTAAGAAAAAACGGAGTAATATATGCTCTAACATCTATTCTTCCTTCTTAACTCAGGTACAAAACTCCTAATTTTTAGCTAGTATATCATTATGCTGAGTAAAGACTATATTTCTCAACTTCTTTCAGCAGCAAAAGGCTACCTATCAAAGTTTCAAACAATATGATTAAGCAGAATTATAGTATATAGTTTCTATGAAGTTTCCTCAAAGAGAGAAAACATTTCCTTCTGCAACTCTTTCTGCATTCAGACTCAGAATGCAAAGGTGATGGCTGGAGCCTGAGCAGCCATCTTGGCTCAAAAGACAGAAGACAGAAGGAGATCCTTCCCAGGTAAGTTTATAAAGCTATTCTTGTCTACCTCTGGGTTCATATGAGAAAAATAAATTCCCATCACAACTTACTGTCACATTGAGTTTCCTCTCAATGTGAGAACTTAATTCTAACTTATCTAGTAGGAGGCTATAGAACAATATTAGACAGAAGATAAGACAAAGCATAGGGAGGCCATGTAAGAATGTATGTAGGTAATGTAAGTAAAAAACTCTCCACATTAACCACGCAGATCAAACAGGCATTATCTGAGAATTTAGCAATCTCATTCTCATGATCATCACCGCCAATGCAAAAAGGCCAACGTACTGTAATGTGCTTTGGAAATTATAGAGAACTATTATAATAAAATATACATAATTATGCTATATACAAGTAGAGATCACTTTAATTCTGGTTTCTTATCTAAAATAACCCAGAAGTCATGAAAAGGCAAAAACATCCATTTCAAAACCAGAAAAACAAAATGAAAACTCTAAACTTTCAACTAAAAGAGAAGTAGCCTGCTCAAAGTCATGCAGATGGAAAGGACAAGAACCTGTCTCTACACCCATTCATCAGCAACAGCATAAATCTCAAAATAGCGCCACTGCAACTAGTTAGATTCAGATAATAATGATCATCTCTGTATACTTCAGATTATTCTTAGTGTCACTCATCAACTCAGTGCCACAGTAAAATATGGCACTAGCATAGCAACGGAGTAATGAGGGAAAGAGACAGATGATGATTTTTCCCATTACTTACTTTCTCAAAGCAATCTACAGTTAGTCTGTTGTTACACTTATACAGAAATCATCACACTATGCATTTCTTAAGTAGCACCCAGAACCCCAGCATCCAGTCTCAAGCTGAGATATATTAAATTCTTTCATCAATGAATGATTAGCATTTTGCTCTTAAGAAACAAGACACTATAATAAAACTTTAAGATCTGATTACGACAATCGATGGCCACACCACCCTGAATGTGTCCAATCTCATCAGATACAACTGTAGCAAACTGCCTTGTTAAATATTATTTTAGAACCTGCTATGAAATAAATTGTTATTGTAATATAAATATCAGTATAAATACAAATAATCTTTGCTTACTTTCAACAAAATATCCACAATACGCTGTTGATATTCCACAGCTTGTTTATCATTTTTAAAATCTTCAAAGGTCTAAAAAGGAGAAATTTTAAAAAGTAATTATTTTCAATTTTTGAATTTTTTTCAAATTTTGAATTATTATTATTAAATTCTTGTGGCTAGAACCCCGCTAAATTCCCAAGTAAGATAACCATTCTCATCAAGTTTTTCTTTATATATTTTTAATAAGTTACTTTTAAGGGAGTAGGGTAGAAACTACAGCATTTAATATTTCATGGTATTCTAAGATCTTAACTGAAAACCAGTATGAAGTATATAAAGAGTGGTTATTAAACAACCAAAAAGCACTTGAGAAAGGAAGTACAGTAGTAAGAAAATTCTACAAGCAAAAAAAAGAGGAAGAATGCTAGTGGCAAGAGGCAACTTGGGAGCAAAGCTCCCTTCTATCTCCTTCTGAGATGGAAGGATAAAAAATGCCGCATTCTCAGCCTTCATTCAGTCTGTTACCTAGCAATAAAAGAAATGAGTTTATTAACTGTCATGAAAAATAATATACATAATTCTCATGACAATTATGAATAATTGATGTTCAGTGACAGGCATTTAAAAATTAAGACAAAATTGTAAATGTTAAAATTCTTAAGCCCATTCATAAGGATTAAATATCTTATTCTCAAAACACTGCCAAGTACAGTTCCTACTCAACTCTGAACATGCATCAAAGTGAATGGCACTGCTGCACTCTGGTAATATATGATAATGGCACGTCACATAAACACCTAGTTCCCACAGGATGCACGGATGAAGGAACTCAAATGGAATCTGTTAGCAACAAGTTGAAATAACCACGTTTTCTGAGCTGTAAGAATGAAGAAAGATTTAAAAATCTTTCCTATGGTTTTCACTTAGCACATTTCCTTCTGAGAAATGTTTAATCCGAAGGAGTAATACCGCTATTTTTTGATCATGAGAAAAGAATATATATTCTCTCAATAAAAAAATGTTCACAACCAGGAACTTTCTAAACAGAGTTCTTTTCAGACTAGAATACTTGTTCTTTAGTGGGCCATGAATTTCCCTGACTTCTCCAAAATACCCTTACTCTTAATAGCACGCATGTCTCTCCTTACTCCTGTCTGGCATCCAACAGGTGTTTAACAAAAGATTGAATTGTTTAGTCATTTACAAAGAAAAAGAAAATATTTTAAACTTTTTTTCTCCATCTAGTCTGATTTGCTGCCAGCTAGTTGAGAAAAACTGAAACAAGTTGCCAAGGAGATGGTAGGAACTGGAAGGCTCAACTAGAAGATATTTCTGTTGCTGTAGGTTAAATATGACCCTACTTGAAGACAGGAAGATAGACAAGAAAATTTCTGAGTTCTATCTTCTGATTTATGAGAACACACTGCTCCCCACCCCCATACCAGGCAAAATGTCACTCTGCAGATACTGTGGGGACTTATCTGATAATATAAGCATTATTCAAATAAAATCCAACTCCACAGAGAATTAACAAATGTATTAAAAATGACAGTAAGTCAGAATTTTCTTAGCCATTTTCCTTTTGGCAGCATGTAGTCATTGCTTTAAAGAAGACACTGAAAGTTTGTTTCTATAAATATAATTAAGTGGTGACATACTATAGTGTGAATGTTATGATACATATAATGACATATTTTAGTGGTAGTTAAAACTGCCACCAAATGGCACACCATTCTTAGAACATTATCACTCCACAAAGACAGTTCTAAATATTCAATGTTTGTTACAACATTATGTGATGATATCCTAATGGAGAATTACAGTTTGTGGAATATAAATGTGATCTCAAAACCTAAGTTCACAGTCATCTGAGCACACAAACTTCTTTTTGTAGTTCCTTCAAAATTATAGGGTTTCTGAATAGGTAATGCTAGTAAGTTAAGTCCTACTCTAGGGGGGCAGCAAACATTCGTAGTAAACATTTCAGGCCCTGAGGGCTATATGTTGTCTCTATCACATATTATTTTTCATCACTGTCACAAACCTTTGTTGTTTGTTTTTAGAGACAAGGTTTCACTATTTGTTTCAGGCTGGCTTTAAAGTTATTTTGTACCCCAGGCTGGCCTTGAATTCACAGTAATCCTGCTTCAGCTTCCCCAGCACTAGGATTACAGGCATTCATCACCACGCTCATCTTTTCTCAAAACCCTTAAGTATATCAAAAACATTCTTAGGTCACACAGGCCAGGGGTTAAATTTTAGGAGCTGGGTTTGACCCACAGGTTATTATTTATAGATCCTATCCTAATCTCTTAACATGCACCCCTAAAAGAGCCTTTTGTTTAAAAAAAAAAAAAAAAAGGCTAGTTAATCACAATTCAAGATAATGGAAAAACTAGAAGAATACCACAAACTTCAACATACAAATGGAAAAATAAGTATTGCACATCAGGACTGGTTCCAAGCACACAACACTAAAGAGAAATCAGGATAGGATTGTGTAGAAAGAAGTAGATTACGACAAGGTTCTAGTGGTAGCAGAATACCTGTAACAACAAACAGACTTCACTCCAGCAGGAGGCAGGGTTCATCTGAGTCAGGAAATACTGAGTTCAGGCCTGAGAACTAGTGGATCACGCACTGGCTATCAAGAAGATCCAAGGAAAGGACTTGGAAAGTATGGATCAGAAATAAAGGTCAGAGGGCTAGCCAAATAGCTCAGTGAATTAAAGCGCCTGCAAGCAGGTGCAGGGGCCAGGGGTTCGATCCCCAGGCCTGCCATGCCAGACCTGCCCCCAGGGGGTGCTGAGATGGCAACTGAGGCTGAGCGTGGTGGCGTGCACCTATAATCCCAGCTCTTGTGAGTCTGTAAACAGACAGATCACTACAAGTCCAATCTAGTAGTGAGACCATGAACATCCTGTAGACCCTTCTCTGAAAAATAAAATTAAAATTAAAAAAAGAAGTAAAGGTAAGATGGGGATTCTGTAATAAAAAGAGGAAACTTAAAGGGCAAATTTTCCTTAGAGGTCTTACTGGGGAAGCCTCAGTGCATGGTAAAGACAGAAAAGCAGGTTAAACAAGATAATATTAAACAAGATAAAGTAGAGAGAGGAAGAGAGACAGAGAAACAGAGAGAAGATAAAATACTCCCCTCAAAATATCTTATTTATTCAAGAAACTGAATTTCTAGTATCGACATATTTATTTGCATATACACCTAAATATGGACTTGCTGGATTATATTTAAAGTAAATCCTTCAATATCCTGGTCTTCCCACTGTCACCGACCTAATTCAAGCCATCATTATCCTCTATTTAGATTACTACATACATTTGCTAGCAGATCTCCTTGCCTCCAATCTTAACACATCTCAATACATTTTTCCATATGCTATGATTGAAATGTTTTTGCCTCCTGCCATGAAATTCCTGTTGAAAACCTAATAATCAATGTGGGAGCATTAAGAGATAAAGCCTTTGAGAAGTGGTTAAAGCAGGAGAGCAGATCATGAGTGGAACTGGAGACCTTGAGATCTCTGGTCATGTTGTTCCCACCACATGAGGGCACAGTGAAGAGGCATAATCCAGGAGCTGGAAGTGGCCCTCAACAGGCAATCTGCCAGTGCACGATGTTGGACTCCCCACCTCCAGAGAGTTAATTTCTGTTGTTTATAAGTCATCCCATCTATGGTAGTTGGTTGTAGCTATCCAATGTGAGAGTCACAGGGAATCTTTTTCAAATATAAATCACAGGGCCAGGAAGATAGCTCAACAGTCTAAGCACCTGCCTGGCAAGTGTAGGGCCCTGGATTGGATCCCTGGCACCACATTGACATGCCAACCCCAAAACCAGGTGTGGTGGCACATGCCTGTAATCCCAGCACTAGGAAGGCTGAGACAGGAGGATCATCACGATGAGTCCAACCTGCATAATGAGACCCTGTACCAAATACATCAAATAAATAAAATACAAGTTACAATATTCTTCATCTTTAAAGACTTTTAACAGCTACCTATGAAGTTCAATTTACTATGAAGTTCAAATTTCTTACTGCAAATTCAAGATCATTATTGTATTCCTGTTACTCTGGATTTGTTTCTGAGTTTTCTCACACATTTAAAAATGTAGACCTACTAAATTTAAAAAACTGTTTGCATATTCATTGTCCAGTCAAATTTCCAGTCCTTTCTATATGTTTTAACCTTCTGTTTAGAGTATCTTTCCCCATTCTTCACCTATTTTCTACCATCTCTGGGACTCAGAATGGACATTATTACATGCAGGAACCTTTCCTAACCCTTTTCAGGTGCCCCTCCTAAGTATGCCAATAGCATCCTACACTCCTGCTAAGGCATGGCTACACTGTGCTGTAACGTTTGGATCTACCTCCTACACTGGGCAGGGGTTACCTCCTGTCAGCCAAGTCTGCATCCCTCACTTAGTACAGCATCCCTCAACATAGGGTAGATACTGCCATTCAAATATTTACCAACAAAATGAAAAATAATTGTTTTGTAGCATTATAAATCCTAATATCATAATTCAAATATCCAGCATAAGTCCTTAAATGTTTCAGAGCCACCATTCCCCTTAAAAAAAAATTTAAATAAAATAGTTCTGGGTAGCATTCTTTGAAAATCCCCTCCCCTCAAAAAAAATGCCTGCTTCTTTTTTCCTGAGTGACACTCACCAAGTTATCCTAAACCAAACAGATCTGACTTCCAGTTCTGAATTTTTCTTCCCTTCTCTCTGTGCAATTTCAGTTATTACTTCTGAATTTAGACTCTCATATACAATCAATTCAATAATCATATTCTTATGAGAGCTTACCTTTTGAAAACTAATTTATTATAGTATTCTACTTATAAAAGTACTCTCGACTCACAGGGCAATTTGCCCCTTCCTGCTGAGTTAACCATTACTAGTATTTTCTACTTCCTGTCTTTTTTTCTCCCCAAAACTGTGTTTCAAAATTTTGTGCCCAATGTTTTCACTATATACTCTAAGCACTTTCCATTATACCAGAAGCTTTTTTAAAAACAATAACTACAATACTATTTAATTGGGAGAATCGTGTTTCATGTAATTATTCCCTTAGGGACATTTTCACAGAAAACCTGGCTCACTTAAACTCATCTTTGACCAAGCATGTATATAAAGTGTTCTTTCAGCAGGAAGGTTCCCTGTTTCATTTCAACTCTAGTTATTCTCACATCATCACTACATTGCCCTCAGATCCTTCATTTATATCGTTTGCCATAAAACAGAACCAGAGAGTCTTACTATGCAGTTCAGTCTCGAACTCATAGAGATTCTCCTGTCTCAACCTCCCAAGAGCTGGGATTAGAGGTATGCACTGCCATGCCTGGGGATCTGGGGCTGGGACGGCACACCTGGCATTTCAGGGCTGGCAGGGTATGCGGGGCTGGGGATCAAACTCTGGTCCTTATGCTTACCAGGTAGGTGCTTATGCCTCTGAGCTATCTCCTCAGCCCCATCTTTAACTTTTTATGGATACACTTTAGAGACATAGACAGAGGTAGAACGGGGAGGAAGGGCTATAAGATTTAGAGAGAAAATACAAGCAGTACAATAAAATCAAACATTCGAAAATTTTACTGCTAGGGCATAAAAACTGTACCCACATGCATATTATTTTTCTTTATATTAAAAAAAATGAACATCCTGGATTCTTTGAAAACACCTTAAAACCATATTGTATCTTACCAAGGCCAACACATTTAGAAATTCTCTTGTATCAAAATGTAACAGAGTCCGAACATAAGGATAGATTTCTTCCTCCGGGGATGCTTCTGCTGAATGCAGGCGAATCAGAAATTCAAAAACCTACAAGTTGAAAAACAACTATTAACTATTTTCTCATCTTACCAATCATCTTGCTCAAGCAAGATCTGATTTCCTTTCAGATAAAATAAAAGATGAACTGAGTTTAAATTGACACTGGGTTTAAAATCTTGTCCTAAATGCCCTGTTAACTAAAACTGTTGACATCCATGATAGTACAAAGGCACTCTCCTATACAGGCCATCGTTCCTGAGGTAGGAGCACTCCTCACCTGCAATTTGTCTTCGCCACATCTTGAGAAGTGTACACAGTGAAAAGGCTATGATAATACTACCAACCTGGTTTTTAACCAAGGGAACAAGATCTTCAGGGATGTCACCAAGAGGATAGGCACGGCCTGCCAGACAACAGCTAAAAGGAAAGAGGAAGAGCCATGTGAAGATCTGGAGACTTGTAAAGGGCTAACTTTGAAAAGTGAGGAGCACTTTGTTTCTCAAGCCTGAGATCCAAGTGGGATTTTGAAGCAGACTCAGCTTTGGTCAGAGAGGTTAAGTTTAAAACCCAGATCACTGCTAATGCATAGTAACGTGACTATAGGTAACAAAGACGTGTTGGATATTAAAAACATGAGAAGCAAGCTGTTGAATGTTTTTCCCATAAAGAAAAGATAAATGCGTATACAAGATACATACTCATCAAAACCATCAGAAATCTTTTTTTTTTTTTTTTGTTTCCCGGTACTGGGGATTGAACTCAAGACCTTGTGCTTGGTAGGCAAGTGCTTATTCTACTGAGCTATCTCCCCAGCATGATTTATTTCTTTTTTACTTTTTATTTTTTCAGATGCGGGGATTGAACTCAGGCCCTTGTGCTTGCCAGGGAAACACTTATTCTACTGAGCCATCTCCCTGGCAAAACCATCAGATGGTAATCCATTTGTAAGTTTTTATGTATCAATGTAAAATTTTTAAATCTTTTCTGTTGTTGTTGTTGTTGTTTATATAGTTGGTACAGGGTCTCACTACGCAGCGAGGACTTGTAGTGATCCTGTTTCAGCCTCCCCAGTGCTGGGATTACAAGCGTGCACCACCACACCTGGTTTTGCTGGTCAGCTCACTGCACCCGAGGATTGAACCTGGGTCCTTCTTGCACTTATCAATAAGGTAGGTGCTTAGATGGCTGAGTTACTTCTGCTACCCCTAAAATTTTTTAAAATGATGTTCAAACAATGGGAGATGGTATGGTGGTTAAGTAACACACCCAGCACCTGAGTTAAGGGCTTCCACTTCTGCCTATCTGCACTACACAGGCAGAAAGAAGACTCTATCCAAAGGCCTCCTACTTGGCATCTAAACAAACTGATGGCACTGTCCAACTATGATCTACCTGTTAGAAGCCTGATGTTCTCAGAGATTTTTAAAACTGGTGGCTTTAAGGACAGATTAAAAACAAGGAATTGGCTAGTTTAACTAATGTTTAACAAGTATCTATACTAGGACAATCCTTCAAGGACAGTCTGAGGAAAAATTCACTGTAGAGTTTTACCTTGGTGTCAGACCTTATTTATGATTGATGACTAACCTCATGGGTTGAATTACTATAAATGTCTTCTTTTTTGATTTTTTTTTTTTTTTTAAGGGATGGGGTAGATTTTAGCACCTTTGAACCAGCCATGATTGTTAATGACACTGGATACCAGTATATTCTAAAGAGTTTCAAGTCCATATGAGAATCACTAGGTAACACTATTACATTCTTTTTCACTAAAGCGTCAATGTTGCAAGTATGAAACAGGTGCTGCAGTTAACTCTGATGTTGGAGAGGAGCTAAAATGAAGCAGAGCGGGGCTGGAGAGATGGCTCAGTGGTCTAAGGCACCTACTTAGAACAAGCTTGGCAAAGC